TTTTTTTTTTTTTTTTTTTCTTTTCTCCTAATTGGCCTCTCAGAGTTGGTAAGACAACTCCCACCTGTTTATGCTCTCTGTATGTGTGTATATATATCTCCTCAATATATGTTCCATTCTATGCATCCGAAGAAGTGGGCTGTAGTCCACGAAAGCTTATGCTCTAATAAATGTGTTAGTCTCTAAGGTGCCACAAGTACTCCTGTTCTTCTTTTTGCGGATACAGACTAACACGGCTGTTACTCTGAAACATATTCAATTTGAGATCTGCTATAGCCCCCAGGTCCTTTCCAGCAAAACAAACACCCAGCCAGTGATTCCCCATTTTGTAGTTGTGCATTTGATTTTTCCTTCCTACTTTGCGCTCGTCTTTCTTGAATTTCCTTTCATTGATTTCAGACGAACTCTCCAACTTGTCAAGGTCTTTTCGAATTCTGATCCTGGACTCTGATTCATCACTAGGCTTGGAAGGATCAGATTGTTACCAGTAAATGTCAATTTCACTGCATCAACCCAAACCAATGAATATTTCCATCAGCAATCATCAAAATTTACCAATAGGAAACATAAGAAAAATGTATCAGAGGGGTAGCCGTGTTAGTCTGGATCTGTAAAAAGCAACAAAGAGTCCCGTGGCACCTTATAGACTAACAGACGTAGTGGAGCATAAGTGTTCGTGGGTGAATACCCACTTCGTCGGATGCAATTGAGTATTCACCCACGAACGCTTATGCTCCACTACGTCTGTTAGTCTATAAGGTGCCACAGGAGACTCTGTCGCTTTTTACATAAGAAAAATGCTGCTTGAAAACTTAGAGTCAAAATCCAATGATTTAGACTTGTGAATTAGGCTTGTTACGAACGGGCTAGTGAATGGAGAGGTCTGATTTGAGGTTTACTTTGTATATTTTCACGTGTGGTGTTCACATTTTGTGTCCTTGTGGTTATAAAGCTTAGACGCTTTGGATTGCATTTGCTATCAGTAAAATAATTGCCTGACCCCTCCCCCCCCATACACACACACATTTCCTGCAACTGAACAAAATTAAATAGGTAAAAATAGAAAAAATGCTTAAAAATAAATATTGTTATCTGTCAAAATTATCAACAAAATAAAAATTCAATTCTACTGAGCCTATTCCTACCCAGGCCGGGCAGACACCAGGTCTGTAGCCATCGTTTGGCTGACTTACAGTTACAATTGATACAGTCGATTATCTAAGCCATTGTATTGTCCAGCATGGCCATGCCCTGCTCTCAGATCCGGCTTCCACCAGGTCAGGGGCTGGCATCTGAGCCTTGACTGACCATCCAGCCGTGAATTTTGGTTTCCTGGAAGTCAGTGGCTGGGGCATAAAAGCCTGTGCATGAGGAATTGTGAGAGATAAAACAGTGTCCAGTAGGTTGGCGTTGGCACCCCGGTTGCTGCCCCTTGCCACCCTGAAATGGCAGGCTGGGTTCTCCTCTTCTGCCAGGGTTATTGGATGAGCGCTGGGCATCGCACGATGTGTCACATTTCTTTTAAAGCTCTGAGCTCCAGGAGTCAGGTGATCACTGATATTCTCAAGGGGTCAGTTATTCGTCTTTGTGGTGCCAGATTAAAACTTGACATGAAGGCTCAGAAAACCAGAAGCTGCGTTTGCCCCTTTTCCCCACCTCTGACCCCCCCGAAAATCAGTAGGGTTCTGGCCATTGGCACCTAGAACATTCCCGGGACTTTTGGAATGCCCTGGATGTGGCGTTCAAACGCGGTCACCTTACAGACAGGATCACTGCTGCACCCTGGCTTTGATAGAGACTTTGGAGGAACCGCTTCAGGGCACCTGACCTTCAAGGGATCCCCCTCTTCCTTCAGGGTCAGCCGTGTGGCTGCAATGGTCCATTGTCCAACTCCGGCAGACCCCGGCTGAGTTCACACGCTCTGCCTGCCGGAGATCCCTGGGGGATCAGTGTCAGTTGTTCAGTCCTTAGGGCTCCATTGTCTTGGCCAACCCTCCATTGACACGGGTCTGTTTCAGCCAGTCCTATAACAACCCAGCCACCCTACCCTGGTTATGTCACCCAAGCACCCTATGTTTCCTTCTTTGCCCTTAAAATGGCTTTTAAACTTTTTCCACTCCTAGGTAGCAATGCACCATAGAAAGGGAAACTGAGGCACACATCAGCATCCTAAAAATAGGACAGGAGATTCCTACTTCATCACAGCCCCACCTCATTCAAAAGGTCGGTGTGAACCTGCCAGGAGCTATTGGCTGAGGATTGGTTTAGGTGGGGGTAGGGGTGGGGGAAGAGAGATCACACAGGAGCTGAGGAGAGATGAAAGACAGAACAGAGGAGAGCAGAGAGAGCGGCAGAGGCAGGAGCCTGTGAGCAGTGTGACGCCAGGAAAAGCTACACCGAGAGTTTGGGGCTGTGCTGGCTAAAGGAGCTGGGGAGGGGAGCTGAAAGCTAAAAAAACTGCTCCTTTCATTCTCAGCTCCTCCTGGGTTTGGAGAAGCAGGACTTTGTATGCTCCGTGTGTAACCACCAGGAAGCTTACATAGATCCCTGGGGCTCTGTGTGCGTGTAGCTCAGAGGAACCATGCTGGTTTGGGGAAGGATTGCAGGCGTTTTGCTCGGAGGATGGGTGTGACACTTGCTTTGTCTCTTTGAACCCCTTCTTGATCTAGGTCAGTTTCAACCAGTCCCTTAATGACCCTATTCATTCCTCCCAGACAGAACGGTGACAAACACCCCCCTGTGCCACTTGGTCTCCCCTGAGAGCAAACTGGAGCCTGTTTTCCCCTGGGGAAAAGTGAGGCTTCCTAAAAATATTACAGAAAATCCCCACTTTGTCTGTCCCCATGTCCCCTGTCTAGCGAATCCTACTTAGTTGATGGTGAGTCCTTCTGTCATAAAACAGTTTTATTGTCCTTGAGTCACATAATCAGGGTAACAACACTTTATTCCTCCTGACCCCAAAACAGAGAAACTGGGAATCCCACACCAGCCAGATAACAAAAGCACGGGTCTGACAACCACCAATCAAGTGTTAACACTGCAAGGACCTTTGTCTGAATGTGTATAAAAGATCTGTAAAATGTGTGTAAGACAGAGTTTTTGTACTAAGGTGCAAAGCTCTCTTTTCTTCTGCAGAATAAAGCAACTCTTCCTTATCCCTGTCTGGCTGTTATTGGCTCTCAGCTAGGTGGACCCGATATTTCGGTAACAATACTGAAATCAGGCGATCAGGGGCTGTTCGGTAGGGGATCTGATCTATCACCTCCAAAGAAAGGGAAGAGCCTAGAAGATGTAATGTGAATGGCACTGGCCACAGTCAGAAGACAGGATACTGGGCTAGATGGACCACTGGTCTGATCCAGTATGGCCGTTCTTATGGTTAAACAGCCACAGCTGTATGATTACTCAATTATGATTACAGGCATGACTGTTCAATTGTACATGTATATGATTATACAGCCATAGTTATCGGGTTGTACAGTTATATAGTTATGCAGATACAGTTTTACAGTTGTACATCCACAGTTCTATGGTTATACGGACACAATTGTACAATTACATGGTTATAGAGCTTCAGTTATATGGTGATATCGTTATACAGGTTCAGTTGTACATTTACATGGTTATACAGCTGTACAGTTATACAGTTACTTGGGAGAATTCATAGAGTGATCTGTCCCCTGTCATCCAGTCCCAACTTCTGGCAGTCAGAGGGTTAGCAACAC